AAAAAAAAAAAAAAAGTCCATTCCAAAAGGTGGTTTTGCATTTGGACAGTATGCCTGGCATCTTACCTACTAACAAGAAAAAGAAAAACGTGTTCACAGAACACTGTGTGAAAGTACTCTGTAAAGCACTGTTGTTGTTGTTGTTATGTGCCGTCGAGTCGGATAGCAACTCCTACCAACCCTTCTAGGGGTTTCTGAGGCGGTATCACTACGGAAGTAGATTGCCCAACCTTCCTTCCAAGGAGTGGCTAGTGGGTTTGAACTGTCAGCCTTCTGGTTAGCAATCACATGCCTTAGGCACTATGCTACCCAAGTGTAAATTATGCTTAATTACTCCAACACAGTTACCAGAGATCATAATTAACCTGGATAAAGGTAATTCAGGAAAAACAGTTGATAGAATGTATGTTACCCCACACCCTGCTGTTAGGAGTCTCCCAATCCAGGCACCCTAAGAAATGACATCAGGAGAAGGGCCCAGAGGGTGACAGGCAGAACTTCGGGGGTCTCCGTCCAGGAGTGCCATTTGCCAGAACTTGCCAGAGTCTGGGGCCTCCTACTCCAGTTCCTCCAGCATCATGGGTGCGGGCAGGAAACTAAATCCCGGATGATGAAATCTTCCATTCCACAGGGCTTAGCGAGGCAGGGAGCCATTGCGGGGACAGGCTCTCCCTCCAGCGAGAACACTAGCCACTCTTCCTCCTCTGAAGAGAAAACTCATGAGAAAGTTCCTCATGTTGTAACACTAAGCCCAACAAGGGTAAAAGGTGTTTGAGGAAGGAGAAATTGGAGAACAAAGCCAACATAAGCCTTTCTGGGGTTAGTCTGAGCTGCTCTATTGTTCTGCTTCAGCCTGTAATTGTCAACACAAAGTGTTAAGGGATAATTTTGAATAAAGACGTCTTAAAGAACAGATGAATGACCTAGATGTTTATTTTCTGGAATACAATACTTAAAATAGTGTCAGAAAACTTCAAGTGAGCACATACACCCCACCATGTCACAATCATTTTGTTATTTGATCACTAAGATTCTACCCGAGGTCATAGTACTTCCTATAGGACATGGTTAAGTCATATCAAAGCCCACGGCCTGTGACCAGTCACGCATGGCTTCATGAGCTGCGAACAATCCACACGGAATGCCGTGCACAGGCTAACATTAGAGACGACCATGACTTCCTTCTCAGGCCCCAAGTTTTCTGCAGGAGGTGGGGTGGCCGCCACACCTGAAGCTACTCATCCACTGTGCCATCCAGGATGTGTTTAAAGGAGAAGGGAGAAAATTTGTAACCGGCCCCAACGTAGAACTTGTTCTGGAACTCCACCCTGTCATTGGGGGGCAAGAAAAAGGGGGATTACAGATAGAAGCTAGAAGCTCGCAGCTTGCAGGAAGAAGCGGAACGTTTGTGAAATCGGGTCAGTGGGGCAGGTGAGGGGAGGGCGCCCATGCTGATGGCCCCACCAGAGACCCAAGGCCCCCGAGGCCCTATCAGCCCATCTCTTGCCTCCCCTCTCCTACTTCTCCTTCCCCTGTTGCAAGGTGTGGGACCCCTTTGCAGTAAACAGTGTGGCCTTTGGTCCTGGTCCAATGAGTGGGGACAGCCCTGACCGAGAGAGGCCACCTGGGGGCCCACGCTGACTGAGCCTCAAGGGGTGTGACGTGATCTCCATGGCCATGAGGAAAGGCCTTGGGAGACGGAGGCTCCGAGGAGCTTCCTGGGCGGAGTGAGCCAACACCTGCTCTCAGAAGGGTTGGGACATGGACGCTGTGTGCTGAGACCCTCTCAGACTCCCACACTGTGTTCATATCCTTTTTCTTCTAGATCACAGTCAGTCTGTGAGTCATTTCAACAGATTACCGGACCTAAAATAAAGAAGTGGCCAGTGCCTGCTGACCCCCCGGGTAAACGGGGAGGAGAGAGAAGTGGCTATACCGACAGCTGGGCTCTGTGGCCAGGGAGGGAAGCTGGGGTGTCCTGGGACTGGTCTGGTAACAAGGAACTCTGGTGGCACATAGGATAAAGCACTTGGCTGCCAACCAAAAGGCTGGTGATTCGAACTCACCTGCTACTCTGCGGGAGAAAGATGTGGCAGTTGGTTCCTATAAAGATGACAGCCTTGGAAAGCCTATGGGGCAGTTCTACTCTGTCCTCTAGGGGCGCTGTGAGTCAGAATTCACTTGACCACAGTGAATTTGGTTTGGGCTTTTCTTCCATAAAGACTGGATATTATGGGGCAGTTCCACTCTGTCCTCTAGGGACGCTGTGAGTCAGAATTCACTTGACCACAGTGAATTTGGTTTGGGCTTTGCTTCCATAAAGACTGGCAGCCTTGGAAAGCCTATGGGGCAGTTCCACTCTGTCCTCTAGGGGCGCTGTCAGTTGGAATCAACTCGAGAGCAGACAACAATGGTGTGACACCTCCAGCCCCTGCCGGTGGCCTTCTTCATGGCAGCAGAACAGTTCCTACCCCACAGAATGAGCTGCCCAGCCCCCAGCTCGAGCAGCTGTCCTCACAGGGCGGCCCAATCTCGTGGGAAGACACGAGGCGGGTGACACTCTTCATCAGTGACGTGCTATTTTCCATGCCCATCCTGATTTCAGATCTGGGGGACTTAGACCCCACAAAGCAAACGTGACCTGAACTTGTCTGTATAACCTACATACGTGCCATCACGTGCCACCACTTCTGTTGCACAGGTACACTCAGGGACTGTGGGTTCGGTTCCAGACCAGTGCAATACAGCGAGGCATGTAAAGTCTTTGGTTTCCCAGTGCACACAGTGGTTATGTTTACACTAAACTGTAGTCTGTCTAGTAAGTGTGCAACAGCATAAGGAAAATGTTTTAAATATCGTGAGAATGACCAAAACATGACACACATACAGGAAGTGAGCACATGCTGTTGGAAAAATGGTGCCAACTGACTTGCTCCATACGGGGCTGCCACAAACCATCCATTTGTAAAAAAGCATAGCATCTGTGATACACAATAAAGTGAGGTGTGATGACACGAGGTCTGCCTGGATCCTGTGGGTGTTAATTGCCCTAATGACATGGGGAAATGATGACGTAAGGGGAGGCAGGCAACACTGTACTTTTCACGACTCAACACATGAAGCACAGAACATTTTCTTTAGGAAAGGCAGCCACAGAGGGCAGTGGGTAACACCAGAGAGAGCCATGGTTAAGGACAGGCAAACCAAAAAAGAACCAAACTTACTGCCATCAAGTCGATTCTGACTCACAACGACCCCCATTGGATTTCTGAGACTGTAAATCTTTACAGAAGTAGATTGCCCCTTCTTTCCATGGTGCGGCTGTGGATTTGAACCACTGACCTACTGGTTAGCAGCCAAATGCCTTAACCACTACACCACCATTGTTGTTGTTGTTTGCCGTCGAGTCAGCCCCAACTCATAGCGACCCCTCCTTGAGTTTCCAAGGCAGTATCACT